TTGCTAAAGGAGCAGTGGGGAAGCAGAGGGAGAGGACGAGCAGGCGGCAGGTAACCCCGTGAGGCAGCTGTCAGCGGGGTGGTCCCGGAGCCGAGGTGGTCTCTGAGCGTGGGCTGGTGGCTGTCCCATCCTCCCAGGAGCTGGCATCGGGCAGGACAAGCCTTAGCAGAGGCGTGGGCAGCTGGCTGGTGCCAAGGTGGCACGGGGATGCTGAGAAGACCCTGGGTCTGTCCTGGGAGCAGGAGCTCATGCTGGGGAAAGGGAGAGAAAGCAACAGCCCAGGTCAGAGTGACCCCAGCCCACCCGTTTGGCCATCAGCCCCCCCACCAGCTTGGCAGTGGAGGGCTCTGGCAGCTGGACACGGCTTCCCTGCCCAGAGCCACCATCACTGTATCCCCCCTTTGCTACCCAGGGAGGTGGGAGCAGGATGGGGGGCTCCTGAGATCCTACCGTAGGAGATGGGGAGGGTAGACCGCCGTGAGAGACATTTCCTCCCGCAGAAGGACGGGCAGCACTTGTGGTACCGTGGGCACTGCCGGTCGGTGTAGCACTGGTTGGGAGGGTTGTGCATGGCACAGACGATGCGGACGGGTGGGCAGGACCAGGCACTACCTGTAAGAAGAAGGAGATGTTTGCTCCAGGCTGCCAGAGCTGAGGGGCACTGGGGAGATGCCCCCCCTGAAAATAATCCCTTCCTCTCCCCTCCCATCCCTGCAAACATGGCTCCTTCCCAGCCCCTGGGCTTTTCCTCCCTGCCCCTTATCCCAGGACATCTCGTACCTGTCGGCAGCTCTGTCCAGAGGATGAGCATCCCCACCAGCAGGAGGGCGGCCACCGACTTCATGCTGCCGTGTCCCCGAGAGGTGTGAGCGTGGGGAGCTGGGGGGCACCAACATTTAAACCCTTGGGGAGGATGGGCACGTCCTGATGTTTGTACCCCTTTCCTCTGCTGTTGCATTGTGGTTTCCGGAAGCCTTTTGCACAAGACACAAACAGGATTGTTCAACTGCTCAAAAAGCTGTTATTCCATTGCACAACTGTTCCCTGCAGCCACACCTGGGGCTGAGGGACAAGCCAAGGGAAGATGGTCCAGGACATCATCTTCCAAGCAGCCTGGAGGCAGTGGAGCTGCTTTCTCCTGGGCAGATATGTTTCTCCAGGAGAAACCATTGTGGTGACTGCTGTGATCCCTTCTGGGGGTCCGTGATGTGGGTTTACCCTCTGTACCTTGCTTCCACATGGACCTGCAAACCAAACCTTACAGCACAATCCAGATCCACGTGGGGCTGCTTGTGCCTTCCCAGGGATGATTCTTTGAGGTTTTTCCAGAGGAAACCTGCCCCAGCCACAATCCCTGCTGGGTCCTCCTTTCCCCACACTTGCTTATGCCACCCATGGGGAAAGCAGCCTTGGCTTAGCCAAGAATGAGTCTTTCCCAAGCTCTGTGGGGGTCACCTGAACCCCAACATTCTCTCTGGGAGGCTGCTGCCATGTGGGAAGCAGGTTGGTGCTGGAAGAGAGTGGCCTCACTGGGGTAGGAGCATTAGCTCCATAAAGCCCTGTCACCAGCCAAACATCCCTGCTGTGACCAAGCCCTTGCTCCTGATGGCTCTAGGGACAAGGGACTGTAGTCCTGGCCCAGAGGGCAAAGATCTCATCAGCCTTCAGGCTTCCATCTTCTCCCTCACAAGGAGGTTGTACCCCCGCTCCAGGCAAAGCTGTTTTCTTTGGGTGCTCTTGGGCAATGGGAAATTACTCCATTTCCCACCAATGGGTCAATGTCCCCCTTGTCTTGTGTAACAGGTTCCTGGGGCCTTTCCTTGGGATTTCTGGGGCTGCCAGGAACCCGAGCTGTGCTGGAAACAAGCACTGGGAAGGTCCTGAGAGGAGAAGGCACCCCGCAGCCAAACACCCCGTGCCCCTGCAAAGGGCCAGCCTGGGCAGCACCTGATTTCACAACCGGGCAGGACGAGGAGCATCGTCCCTACGTCCCCCACACAGTCCCTGAGCCATCGCTCTGCCCCTGGAGCACCCACTTTCCATCCAGGGCATGGTGGGATCTCACCGTGCCCTTTCCTGCTCAGACTTCCCTTCTCATGTCTCTGTATGCCACGCTAACTGGACCTTAACTCACTGGATATCTGTTAATTATTGTCCAGTTTCCCTAATGATTCTGTGGCTGCATTTAGCTCTTTGTAAAATAATTTATTAAATAACTGGGAGAGTATTTTGCCAACCCAAATAGACTTTCTGGGCTGGGCATGATCTCTGAAGGTCCCTTCCAACCCCAACAATTCCGTGATGCTGTGAAAATGCCTGGTCTTGGTATGACAAAGCCAACGGGAGCCGGGAAGAGCAGTGGATCGGGCAGCGGCATTTCACCTGCCTGCTTCATCCCATCTCTCATGCAATGGAGAGGGAGGTGTAGGACTCTTCTGAGTGTCCTGGTCAGATTCCTCCCTTTCCCCATAGCCTGCTCTCTCACTCTCACCTCCTCCACTCCATCTCCCTCCCCGCGGCAGAGGGAATCTGGCCGAGGAGCCCAAATCTGACATCATCCCACGAAAACAGGAGAGTTTCAACATGTACGATGGGAATGGTGTAAACACAACCCATCTGTTGGAGCCTTTCAATGAGTTCCCAATCCCACTCCCAGCTCCCCATCCATCCTCCTGCCTGGGACTGGGCAGTGCTGGGATGCGGGTCACTTCGCTGGGGCAGCATGGAGCAAGGAGGGGTCGGTAAATCACTTTGCTAATGGGAGAAGATGCTGTGGGGGCTCACACGGGGGCTGTGCCCGGGGGATGCTGTCAGGAGGGTACGGGGTGCTGGAAGGCACTGCCAGCCCCTGCCAGTGTAGGGACTGGGCTAACTGGGAGAGCCCCACAGCAGGCTAGTGCTCACAGGGAGCCCACGGGTCTGACACCTGGGGGGGAGGGATGAATTTGGGTCCAAGCAGCTTGGCAGCCCCTCATCCCCTCCTACAAGGGGGGCACCAGCAGG